CGCCGCGCGCCTCGGTTCTCGCCGGCCGTCCCCCGTCGTCGCCGGGACCTCCTGCGCAGCCGGGCCGCCTCTCCCGGAGGACCGCCGGCGTCCCTGGAGCGAAGGACAAGCCGCCGCCGGGCGCCGGGGCCAGGACAGCGGGTGGCTCCAAGGCTGCCCCGGGAGCCCGCAGGGCGGCGCACGCGGTGCCCAGCGAGCCTCTGACCCGCGCCGCGAAACCGCCTGGACCCGCGCCTCCCGGCGCCGCCGCTAAGGTCCGCAGGGCTAAGCGCGGTCCGGGTGCGCCCCCCGCGCGGGCCTTCGCCTCTCCTGGCCCCACCACCCGCGCCCCCAATGCTAACCTCGCCGTGGCCCCCGGTGCGCGTGCCGGCCACACGGACAGCAGCTCTGATCTCTCCGATTGTGCCTCCGAGCCGCTATCCGACGAACAGCGACCACCGCCCGCAGCCGGTAGCGACGCTGAGTCTGGCACCGGCTCCAGTGACCGCGAGCCCGCTCGGGGGACGTACAGTCGGGGAACGCCACTAGGCAGCCCCGAGATTCCCGCGCATCTTGCCGCTCCAGCCCCTGGCCTCGGGGGCCGTAGCAGCCCCGGCGGGGTACCCTCGGGATCCCCGGGTCGCGGCACGGCAGAGAATGACGGGGGGCGCACACCTCCCGGGAGAGCAGTCCTGGGGACCCCGCAGGAGCCTGGCCTGGGAGAGCAACCGCGACTTGGGCCTGGATTGGAGCAGGAGGAGCTGCTGCGGGAGATGGAGGAGCTGCGCTCTGAGAACGACTACCTCAAGGTGAGCGGGCTAGGGGTGCGGAGCTCCTGGGGTCCCTAGCTACCTGCCCTGTGTCCGCTAGGTCTTGGGAACTTAAACTGAAACTTCAGGAAGACGTGGCCAGATCTGTGTGGTCTTCACTTGACGTTTCCAAAAATCCTGTCGGTATTGGCAGATGCCTTTTACTTTTGTCAGTGAACGCAGGGACTGGTGGCTCTTCTCATTTGGGGTACATCAGTTAACCCTCACCCATACATCACCTGTTGGATGAGGTTGTTCCTCGCTGGCCAGTTCTGGCTGGGCGTGTGCACATGTGAGTCAACTGGGACCAGTGCAGTGACCCAGGATGCAGACTGGCCTGTCCTCTTTCTGCAGTTGCCGAAACCGCCAGGGGCCCTCTGTGCCTCCTCTAACCCTCACATGCAGTCAAGTCTGAGGGGACCTGGCCGCTTTCTGTTCAGAAAGGTCCCTGAGCATGGCCTGGGGTCAAAATGGCCCTAGCGGTCCTGGCTCCAGAGAGGCCAGGCCAGCTCTTTCCAAGGAATCTCCGCCTCTGCCACACTCTGGGTATCCTCAGGCAGCCTGCTGGCTGGGCCTCTTAGGCTTGCTTTATCCAGCACCAGCTCTCTCCAGGAGCAGGGCTGGGCCAGAGCGCAGAGCTTTGGACTAGGTTGGGGTCAAGAGAGTTAGTTGATGCAGCTGGAGAGATGAGGGGCCATAGGAGAGCAAGTGCTCATTATAATCCTAGGTTCGAGCAGAGCAGCAGTCAGGATGTCCTTCTGTACCTGTTAGGATCCCAGTGACACCCTTGCTTTGCAGTGGATTCTGCTTTGAGCTGTTTGTCTCCATGTGGTGAGCAGACCTGATTGGGGTCCACTGTTCGACAGTGGGCCTGAGGACTGGGCTCTGAAGGGGGCAGTGGTCAGGTGGGCACTGGGTTTTCCTAAAACTAGATCTCTTAGCCAGAGTTCCTCTCACAGCTGAGCCCAGGGCTTACCTGGTGTTGCTCATAGAATCAGGCAGGGAGAGCTAGGGAGGAGAAGAGGAGAGGGTGGCCCAGACCGGGACTGGATGGAAACGTTTCAAGCAGCGCCTTGGTTTGCTTTTGTCACTTGCTCTTACATAAGCCCCAGCAGAGTGAAATTCAGAGGTACTGGGGAGAAAAGCAGCTATGCTGTCTGTGGCTCTCTCCTGCAAGCCCGTTCCATAAGTTCCTGTGGAGTGTCCTCTCCTGGAGGGTGGAAAACAGCCCAAGTTTTGTAGTCCTGCTCCATAAGCATCCCAATCAAGAAGGGTAAGCAAGAGAGAACAGCTTCAAAGCAGAGCTGCTTCTTGTTGCATCTTTGATCTTGACATGTTTCAAACTTGATTCTTGAGTCCCAGCTGCTTGCGCTCCCTTTCCCATGGTTAGATTCTCAGAGAACGACATGGGTGTCCATCCCAGAGCTGAGAGGAAGCTGGCATTTCAGGGTATTTTCTCGCTGTGGTGCAGCACTGGGGCTGGAGCCCAGGGCCTCCAAGAGCCAGCTACGCCTCCAGGCGATGCACCCCCAGCTTCTGTTGTTACATTTGTCACAGCTCTACTGAAGGGGATGCTGAGAACTTGGAACTTCAGGTACTTGTCCAAGGTCACTCCACCGCTGAGAGCATCACTTCTGTTGGTGCTGCCTCTGTGGCTTGCACCCTTTGGGCTTTGCTACCCAGCTGCCCCATTTCCAGCCAGACCAGGTCCTCAGCCTGCTCTGTGGAGGTGTTTCATTCCTTCAGTGTGATCCCCATGTTGAGCTTTCTAGGAGGCTCTGTTTTCTTTGGAGGTGGAAGGGCTGCTGTGCACCCATTCCACTAGCATGTGAACCAGGGCCCTATCGTCATTTGTAGGAGATGCTCAGTTGCCGTTTCCTGGGGGGAAGGTGCCACGCCATCTGTTTACTGAGCCTGAGCCTGTGGCCTGGCTTTTCCTCTGACAGCCGGAGTGGGCAGAGACTCGGGAACCAGAGCAGTGCATATGGAGGTGTGTGACGTACATGCTCAGTCTTTCAGAAGTGTAAATTCCAGTAGCATGATTTGGGAGAGGAATGCAAGAATCTCTGAACTTCTGTCAGTTGTGAGCTGCTTCCTCATGCAAAATTTGGCTCATGGTGCCCTTCTGGAGCAGGATGGGGCGGAAACCCTGCCTTTCTTGGTGCATGGTGCTTAGGGTGTGCACAATATAAGCCCACACTTACACTTCTCTTTTTGCTGTCAGTGTACTTGATACTTTTTTTCAGATGGAGATAAAAGTGTATCCTTGACCTAGTACTTTCTTTGGGGAGTGCTGCACGGAACTCTCAAGATTAGATATAGCATCCATCTGTTCAGATGTTATCTAACCAAATAGAAGCTCAGCCTGGAGGCTTTGCTTGGATGTATTCCGAAGGTTGCATGTTCTTGCCTGGCCACCTTGGTCATCATGGTCTGCAAGACTGTCATGGTTCTGGAGCACGATCAAACAGAAAAATCAGCCCAGTGCAGTAGCAGGAGGTCGTCTTATTGATCAGGAAATGAGTGTGGAGCTCTCTGTGTTTTCAGTGTGGCTTCTCTTGTGCTGGTTGGAAGGGGTGGGGTTGTCTCCTCCTAAATTCTGTCCCTTCACCAAAGGGCCCTGGGGACACTGGTGAAAAGTATACAGTCCCTGTCCTGGTGGCTTCTGCATGACACAGAGAACCTGAAGATAGCAGGAATAGCTCCAAGATGAAGGTGAGCAGCTGGGTCCATTGGTCTCTGCTTCTTTCCGAGCCAGACTGAGGCATGGTTCTCACGCTGAGGATCCACTTGCTGGCACTGGGAACCTCCTGCCTACTGGGCTGCCGAAACTGCTCGGCTCCAAGGCCCAAGGACAATCAGACAAGCCTGGTGCTCTCTGTCCACTTACTGATTGTGTCCTCCATCTCCATGGTGCTTCAGGAAGATACAGGTGCATAGAGTTTATTGGGCAGTCTTGAAGGTGCTGTGGCCTCAGTAGTGGAAACAGGTCCTACCCCAGACGCGGACCCCTCGTGTGCCGCAGGATGGGGCGGGAAGGGCATTTCTCTGTGCTCCACTACACAGTCATTTCAGAATAACTATTTTTGGTGAAAAGAAAGCATGTTGGCATGGCCTATCAGGTCAGAGCATGGGGGTCCATTTCCTAAAAAGGCTCACAGAAGTTTGGGGGCAGCTGTTGCTGGGGATGGAGCCCAGGACCTGAGTGCCAAGCACACGGCTCCACACCCAGTGCAGAGGTCTGGGTTTGGAGGTCACTTGCAGGCGTCTCCCCGCTCCGCCTCACTGTCCTGCTCCTCACTGGGGCTTTTTCACCTTCAGACTGCGGTGTTTGGTGCCTGGAAGAGCACAGACTCTGGGGCAGTGCAGGCATGTCTTTTGTTCCCTCTTTCTTCTTTCCCTCTGGGGAGGTTCAGTGTGGACTGATTCTCTCTCTCTCTCTCTCTCTCTCTCTCTCTTTTTGGATCCCTGCTTTCCTTATCCTACAGAAGCTTGGTGAGGTTAGTGGTCGTTGTTGCTGTGGTCGTGGTCCTTGTGGTGGCTGGATGATGCTGACCAGGGCTGAGAGCCGTCAGCCACTGGCTGTATCTCGCTTGGTAAACAGTGGTGGCAGCTCTGCATCTCTGTGGCTACAGCTGGGACTCACGGAGAACGTTTCCATTGTCCAGGGCCGTGGATGTGAGGCGGATTATTCGCACACCACAAAAGACAGTCGCTCTCCCAGGAGATGGAACTACAGCAACGGTAGCTGGAGGACGGCAGCTCTGGCTGTCCCAGTAGGACCTTTGAGAGCGGCTGTTAAAAGAGGAGGAGGCGTGGATTTGGGCTTGTAAGAGGTTCAGGTTTAAATACAGTCATCAAACGAATGGGAGTTTTTTATTTATGAAGAAATCAGGGATTTGGTTTTCATTTTATATTTATTTATGACGCTGACCATTGTGCAGAGGTTTTTACTGCAACGTTTAAATTGCATCTTAGCTTACTCAGCTGTACACATGGTACAGTACCTTGTTATTCCTTCAGCTACACATATGTGTCTTTATATATATGAGCATATGAAGTATATATTTAAATATGTACATAAGGGCTGGCCCGATAGCTCAGCGGATTAAAGCATCTGCTTAAGCAGATGCAGGGGTCGGGGGTTTGAGCCCTGGCTTGCCATGCCAGCCTGTCCCTGGGACACGCTGAGATGGCAAATGAGACTGGGTGTGGTATCACACACCTGTAATCCCAGCGCCTGGGAGTCTGAAAAACAGGAAGCATCACCACAAGTGTGATCTGTGTAGTGAGACCCTGTAGACCCTGTACTAAATACATAAAATATATATGTAAGTATGTAATATAGACTACATGTCTGTGACAGAGCTTGCTTTATTTGTAGGCCGAAGGGAATAGTTAGACAGTTATACTTCAAAATTCCATTTTCTGTAAAGTATTTGAAAAATATAATACAAACTAGATTAGTTTTCTTTTTTTTTTTTTTTTAAGTTATAATTAATTTATTTTTGGCAGAACCAGGGATTGAACTCAGGAACTTGTGATTGCCAGGGAAGCTCTTATTCCACTGAGCCATCTCCCAGGCCCCTCTAGATTAGTTTTCAATAAGATAATAACTTACTATTTAACGATCTAGCAGATATGGTATTAATTTCAGTAGAAACCTTTTTTTTTTTTTGGATTTTTAGGGAAGGGTCTACAGGGTGTTTAGGGTCTCACTACTAGATCAGACTCCTAGGGATCTGCCTGTTTACAGCCTCCCAAGAGCTGGGATTCCAGGCGTGCCGCCACGCGCAGTCTCAGTGCGCCCCAGGGGCGGGGCCGGCACGGCAAGCCCTGGAATCGAACCCCAGCCTGAGCTACTTGGCTGGCCCAAAACTGTTGATTAAGGAGTTTTTTCTGCACTAATTTTCTTTAAAAAGACAGCACCAATACCCACTTTTCTTTGCTCTCTTTGCTTTATATCTGCCAGAAACTCCGTATGTTCTAACTTGATTTTCTTAACCGTCTGAGTGCCGGGCCTCTGCAGGGTCCTGGAGAACATGTTCCCTGGAGATGAAGGGCACATCACCAGAAGTCACTGCCCGTCACAACCCTGATCTGAGGGATCACAGTTGCTTTTGTTTTCAAATGGCTCTGCCACGTTAACCTGGGTGCTAATTTGCTTCTCTTACGATTTTGTTTCATGGAACCTGGGAATGCTTTTCCAGGTGCTACAGAGCTGAAACACCGGCTTCAGTGCTGTCTGCCATGGCCCATGGTGGACAGACCCCGAGCATCACCTTCCTCCTTTGGAAGGGGTGTCTTACCTCCTAGCTGGCTGGAGGACCCGGATGGCTTATGTGCTGGCAGCTGTCAGGCTGTAAGGATGGTTGACAGCTGCCCATAGGTAGGATGAGTTACCTGTGCTGCTTTTGGAGACGCAGCACAGGTCTGTTTGCTCTGTGCCCGTGGGATGGATACCTTGTTCTCACTGCCGAGCGCCCGCCTGTGTGTGCTGGGAGCAGGCTGCGAGCCCTTGCAGCCTGGCTTCTGTCTGCTGTCTGAGTCTGGGCCACCTTAGTGGCCTCACTTTGCACCCTCTCTAGAATGGGGGCCGTGTGTCCCGCCGGGGTTATCGCAGGTTAGCAGTGAGACCAAAGGGCATAATAAAAGCTGTCTTCTTTTTTAACAGTTTGATAAAGTGTGAGTTACGAAAGCAGTGATTCAAATGCGGACAGTTAGGGTCTGTCCCCAGTTTTGTTCTCAGTGCAGCTAATGTTGATGGTTCTTTGTGCCAGAAAAATCTCAGCGGTTTCCATCCGGCCTGCTCAGCAGTTGGGAGGCGTGAGCCCATCGAGCCCCTGAGCAGGTTCTCCCGGCCTGTGTGCACATCTGTGTGTGTATGAGGGACTCCCTGCTGCAGAATCTGAAAGCTAGAGAATATCTGAAAGGTCTATTTTGCATCTTCTTATGCTGAATCACATTTTAAGAAGTTTTGTTTGAGTAATAGGTAATTTTAGGTATTAAAGAGTTTGTTTTTTACAGATACTTTCTAGAAGGGAAAAGCAGTCACCCGGTTCCTCCTGCACTGTGAGGTATATGTGTATCCTAACTTAGTAATACACACACAGTGATTATTGCTTGTATTGAATGTTTTTTTTTTTTTTTTTTAATTAGCCACCCAGTGAGACAGTTACTGTTCTCGGAAACAAACATCCCCATTAGGCTTTCTCAGATTCATGGGTGGGACAAGGGTGAAACTAGATCTTGATTTTTGAAGATTCAGGACTCACTTTCTGCTCTTCATGGAAAGAGTGACAGCCGTAAGGCCCGTTCTGAAGCGTCCAGCCGCCCTGGAATTCCTCCAGCATGGGGGGCAGGCACAGCCCACGTGGCCACCGGGCATTGTGGCAGCCTCCTCCTGGCCAGGAGGTGAGCGGCACTTTGCTGCATGAGCTGCGTCCTCCCGCCCCCTCTGGAGCTGGCCAGCTGTGGCTCTGTTGTCCAGTCTCTGCCAGTCCCAGCAGATTTGCCTGCCAGGAACAAGGTATATAGGGAGAGAGCTCCATGAGGGAGGTGAGGGATGAAATTTGCCAACCCCATGTGACCCGCCACTATGATGTTAGCACAGGAGAGGGCAACTTACTTTTATAATGACATTCTCATCATTGGTCTGGAAATTCTGTAAGAACACTGAGAAGCCGAGAAGGTGTTTGACACCTGGAAGTTGTGAGGCTTGCTTCTGTCACCTGTGTTTTCTCTGGAGTCCCCTGAGCACCCCTGGATGGGGCCTGGCAGGCACGAGACCCTCTCAGAATGGTGAGGGTGTGGGGAGTGCTGATCTCACCATGACACAGACTGGAGCAGCGCCTGCCCCCCTCTTCGGTGCCAGTCATTTTCCCACAAGTCGTTGATGTCCTTTGAGCTTACTCAGGATAAATTCTGGCTCAGATTTTTTGCATGCAGGGTCCTGTCTACAGGATGCTGAGCTTGGGAACCTCTTGTTTTTTGTAGCAAAGAAATCCTGGTTAGGGACCAGTGCAGGGCAAGTGAGAACCATGAACCAGTGACAGAACAGCCGGGCAGGATGTTGGGGAGCGAGCTTTCCCCTCCAGCCCGACCACTGACTGAACCAGAGGTGAGGGAATGGCTGCTGAGAAAGCCCAGACAGTTTCTAGAATGTTCTCCCTAGTCTTCCTTCTGTAATGCTCCATATTGGAATCTTCTGTGGCATCTGGGGGGATGTGTGCCTAGGACCTGCAGCTGCTGCCTGGGAGTTGGAAGTTTGCACCCTTGAGCTGCAGGACTGGGCAGAGCCGTGGTGCAGGGGCGTCTGACTTCACGCTCATGGGCTGGCTTCTGCGCGCTGGGTGCTGACTTCTGAGTGGAGGGGATGTGGGTGAGTCAGGCAAGATGCACCTACAGCAGCAGCTGTTGAGAGGCGTAAAGAGAACAGAGAAGGCCGGGGCTGGATGTGGGGCTGGACAGGGTGTGAAGGCTTGCCACTCCCACTTCTGCAGGGGCTCCTAGTCCTGGGGGTGGCGGTGGCAGGTGGTGGCTGTAACCTGAGGATGGAGAAGTCCCAAGGTGTGGCAGGGGTGGCGCAGCTAATGTCTGATTTGTGTATTAAAGGCTGACTATGAGGAGGAGGGTAGTTGGGAGGATTGGAAGGGGAGGCCTGGACCCAGGCTGAGATTCTCCCTGTCCAAAGTCAGAAATACAACTGGTTGGCTTAGAGATTGTAATTGGTTTTATTTGTGCTTCTACAAGTAGGCAGTGCTCTATTGCCTGAAATCCAGTCTGTGCTGGTGGGCTGATGGAGGAGGGCTGAGGAACAGGAACAGAACCAGAACAAAGCCTGACTGTGGCTTCAAAGTTACTTTCCTGAAAGGCGGGCAGGCAGGCGGAGCAGAGGAAAACAACCAAGAGTTAACTCGGGTTACTCCAGGCTCCACCCCTCCCCCAAGGACCCAGGCAGGGGGCCGAGCCCACTGCCACACTGTCCAGCCTGGCCTATCCAAAGCTTTGCCCCTATACCGCTCCTGAGTCCTGAAAGGTCTAGAGATGGGGACCGCTAGCCTCAGCCGCTCCCGCTAGCCTCAGCTGCTCGGTGCTGAGTTTTAGCCTGGTGTGGGGGCCCAGGGCAGGGACCTGGCTGGAACTGAGAGCCAGGCTAGTCAGTGTCCTGCATTCAGGGACTCGTGTGGACAAGAAGGAAGGATCAGTGTTGGAGGCAGGAAGACAGGTGAGTGGGGAAAAGCCTAGCATGTGTCTGAATGGAAAGTGTTCCTTCCTTCGCTGGCGCCACTCCGTGCTGAGATTTATGTTCGCAGAGACACTGCAGGGTGCTGTAAGCTCAGGGCCGTTCATAGTCACTCTCTCCCTTGAGTTTTTGTTCTTCAAAGCAGCATGTGTTTAATTTGTCCCAGTCTTAAATTGTGCCTTAGACATAGAGATTCAGCTCAGTGTTGGGTTGGGGTCTGCAGGTTTAATTATGGGTAGAGCTGGTTCATTTGTGACCCTGCAAGGAAACGCTGGGAGAAGTTCTCTGTAAGGCCACAGTGAGCAGGCCAGGCTGGCCTTTAGTGTCCAGGTCTAGGAGACTGAAACAGGCGTTTGGTGCTTGAAAGCATCGCGTGTGCGCCCTTCTTGTATCGACAGCATTTCCCTGAGCTGATGGATATGTGCGGGTCAGGTGCTGAGCACTGTTGGGGGTGGGGAGGACTGTGGCCTTGGGACGGGGTGGCTGTTCTTCCTCGTGGCTTGGCTTGCTCATCCATGCGGTCTGGTTTTGTAGGATGAGCTGGATGAACTCCGTGCTGAGATGGAAGAGATGAGAGACAGCTACTTGGAAGATGACGTTTACCAGATGCAGGAACTTCGGCGAGAGCTGGACCGCGCCAACAAAAACTGCCGCATCCTGCAGTACCGACTCCGGAAGGCCGAGCAGAAGAGCCTGAAGGTAGCAGAGACTGGGCAGGTGGACGGCGAATTCATCAGGAGCCTGGAGCAGGACTTGAAGGTGAGTAGTGAGTGGGAGGGTGGGCGGCGTACCTGTTGGCAGGAGGATGGGCAGGCAGGAGGACAGGCGTCCATCAGAAACCTGACCTCAGGCCCCTGTGCTACAGTGTCTTCATTTTCTTCTTACAGTTTCTTTACTCCTTTGCTTTTGGAAAGTCAACCTGTTTAATTGCTTTTTTGTTTGTTTGTTTTGTACTTTAGGGAAGGGTCTACAGGGTGTTCAGAGTCTCACTACTAGATCGAATTCATAGGGATCTGCCTGTTTACAGCCTCCCAAGAGCTGGGATTACACGTGTGTGCCACCACGCCCCGTCTCAAATTGCTCTGAACATGCAAACTTCTGGGCACATCAGAATGACAGTTGCCCTGCCTCCGTCCCCCCGCCACGGTTCTCAAGCTGCCTTCCCTGCTTGCCTCTGTCCTTGTGAATTTCGGCGTAGACACCCTTGTTGTGTTCTGTGGCATAGAGACTATGTGTAGTTGTATGACTTTGACAGCCCAGGACTTAAATCCATTTTAAAACAGACCAAACTATAGCTTTAATTAAAAAAATAGAAGTTGGAGAAGGGATCTACAGTGAAAAAAAAAAGTACCTGCCAGCTAGCCTGACAGCTGTAAGGAAGTTGTGCAGAGATTCCTAAAGACCTGAAATGTGCTTTTAAAAAAAAAAATTGACTTTCCATTCAGTTAAGGGGCAACCTGAAAAGCCGGCCATCGGTCTTCACTTTTTTTACAGTTATGTAGGTTTCTAGGATGCAGAAAAGCTGAGAAAGCCGTAGCCCAAGTGAGATTGCACACTGATGATTCCACTGAAGGAGAAGGCGGAGCAGGGTCGGACAGCCGCTCCGGAAAGGGGCCAAGCAAGGGAACCCGGGCTTAGCGTCGTTGTTTGCTGTAGAGGCGGCAAAGCATGGTCATGGCCCAATTACCAAACCCATATCTAGTGGTGATTACGCTTAATGTCCTTCTTGTGGGAGCCCTGGTGGAGTCTCATCCAGCTTTCATCAAAGCAGGCACAGGATCTTTATAATTCTGTCCAAGCTATAATCCCTGGCAAATCTTTTTTGCATTTTAGGGAAGGATCTACGGGGTGTTCAGGGTCTTACCACTAGATTGGACTCGTAGTGATCCACCTGTTTACAGCCTCGGAAGAGCTGGGATTACAGGCACGCCACCACACCCAGTCTCAATTTCTGTCTCAGTGTACCCTGGGGACAGTGGCGGCTTGCCTAGCAAATCCTTATTCAGTGGTATAAAGGAGATTTCTATGTTTTACAAAGTTTCTTTTCTCCTTCCCCTTTAGAAAGCGCAAACATCTAATTGCCTTGAATATTGCAACATTCTAACCACACTAAAAGGGTAGCCTGCTGAGAACTTGGTAACATTGAACATCTGCATGCACAAGTGTTTCATTTGTTGTTTTAGCAGGCAAGTTCCCCTGCTACCTCAGGGAACAGAGATGTTGATTTGTCTGCTTTTTTAAAGCCTAGGTAAAATTGTTGTTCTTTTTCTTAACCGGGGGTTGAACTCAGGCCCTTCCTAGAAGCGCTTATTCTACTGGGCCATCTCCCTAGCCCCAGAAATTTTTTTTTCCCCTGTATTTTAGGGAAGGGTCTACAAGGTATCCAGGGTCTCACTATTAGATCAGACTCATAGTGACCCACCTCTTTACAGCCTCCCAAGGGTTGGGATTACAGGCATGTGCCACCATGACCAGTCTCAATTGCTGTCTCAGCGCACCCCAGGGGTGGGGCCCACATGGCAGGCCCAGGGATCGACCCCTCCCCCCAGCCCTGCGCCTGCTTGCAGGATTTTAATCTGCTGAACTATTTGGCCAGCCCTTAAAATTATTATTGTTGATGATATGTGTGGGGGGACAGGACTATCCAGAATAGGCTTTTACTATGCAGCAAAACTATTGTCTGGGGGCAAAAAAAAAAGAAAGAAAGAAAAAAGCCAGACATGGTGGTACACACCTATAATCTTAGAACTCAAGAAGCTGAGGCAGGAGGATCGCCATTAGGTAGAGGCCAGCCTGGGCTCCGCAGCGAGTGAGGCACCCTGAACTGTATGAGACCTTGTCTTAAGGAAGCCAAAGTGGCCTGTTAATCCAGGTTCCACTGCTGTTCTCTCTCCCTCCTCAGGTTCGTTTTGTGTTTTAAGCTGCAGACAGTGACACCTATGGGAATGCTCGAGGCCAGACGTGGCTAGATTTCACACATGTAGGATGTCAGGTGTTTGGGTTGGAGGACCAGAGGCGCTCAGCCTGTGATGCCCGTGTCCTTTGGGTGCAGGTCTGCCTCTCCTGCCTTCGTGACCCTGTGCTTTGCACCTGCATGACTCTTGTGTGATCTACACAGGTAGCCAAAGACGTGTCTGTGCGGCTGCACCATGAGCTAGAGGCTGTGGAAGGGAAGCGGGCGAGAGCCGAGGACGAGAATGAGGTGCTGCGCCAGCAGGTGATCGAGGTGGAGGTATCCAGGCAGGCCCTGCGGAACGAGCTCGAGCGGCTGAAGGAGGTAAGGCACAGCGCGAGCCTCGCCCTGGGCCTCGTGGGCAGAAGCGTGGGCGCCGCGTGTCCCAGCTTTGACCTGAAGGAGAGGGAGCTGAGAGATGACTTACCATTTAACATTGTAAATGAGCACATCCACACAGATCTACATACTGCCTCCCAAGATTGTAGAACGGACACTGTTTCTAAAACACTTTCTGTCTGGTCTTCACCGAGAAGACTGGCAAGCCCTTCCCTGAATCTGCCTTTTAGACTTTCTGCTCCGGTGAGCTGGCTGCTGGTTGCTGCACATGGGTCGTTGTTACGGGAGTACAGAGTTAGGCAGCGTGTTTTTCTTCCAGTTAGCTGGAAAGTGTATTTTCCATTAAAGTTCTAAGGTATGCTACCCCTCTCTTTTTCAACCAATATAATTTAAGGATGGATAATTTTTTTAACTTCACAGAGTAATCTGACAAAATCATTGAGCAAATGAATATATATATATCTCCTTTCCGTTTGCACAGAGCACTGTAGGTCCTGCTGTGTTACTGGCTTCCGCTGTAAGATGGAAGCGGAGCGTTTCCTTGGGAAACGTCTGCGTGTTGATGAAAGAGTCCGCCGTGAGCGCTCAAGGTGCAGGCTCAGGCGGGCATGTTACTTGCCGAGGCCCTCATGGGGCAGTTGTTTGGGGGATTCCTGGTCCCTCTCACCCCGGTGACACCCAGCACCTCGGGCCCAGGCCCATCCCAGGTGTCTGTTCCGGCGCACAGGTAGGACCTAGGTCACAGGTGCGGAGCCCCAGACCTTGCTTCCACCCTGGGACACCTAACCCTTACGTCACGCGACCTGGTGTCTTTGGGAACCTCCCACATCCACCTGGGGACCTGCAGATGGCTTCCCATGCCTGGCCGGGTGAGTGCCACGTGCACTTACACTGCCTTGCTAAGGACCAAGACAGGGAAAGAGGGCTGTATGTGTTCTGAACAGACCAAAGATTTTGTGGGTCCTGGGCGGCTGGAGCCTCGGGTGGGACGTGCACGACTGCGGAGGCTGGCCGTGTGGGCCCGGGAGAAGCAAGGCTTCTCCTGCTCAGGCTGTAGCGCTTTTTTTTTTTTTTTTTGGCAGAACCGGGGATTGAACTCAGGCCGTTGTGCTTGCCAGGGAAGCACTTATTCCACTAAGCCATCTCCCCGGCTCCATTTTTTTTTTCTGTAGTGCATTTGTCCCGTGGCCATATGGAGGAAGAAGTGCTCACGGCTGCTCGTGACATGGAAAGCAAGGCCAGGCCTGGGAGATGTGTCCTCTCAGGACTGGCTGGGCCTGGGCCAGGCAGGCAGAGCCTGTTTCCTGCAATGGCTCTTGGGATGGGGCCAGGGTGGGACCCCAAAGCTGCAGTCTGGGGCCACACATAGTTCTGCTTACTGAGCTTAATCTGCAGGTTTGCAGATTTGTTTCTCATAGACTTGAACAGTTTGGTTCACTAAGTGGTGTTGTCTAAGAGTCTTTATTTTGCACTCAGTCTTGAAAGGGCCTGGGCACAGGATTCTAGCAGCGAAGATAATACTGCAGTACATGGGGACCCTTATCTTCCCTGGGGAGTGTTGTGTGGAGCCACTGCCCCAGGGCCTACGCTGGGAGGGGCTCCTGCGCTCGTGTGCCCTGCCTGCTCTGTGCTCCTGTGAGGTCCTGTTGCTCCTCTTCCTGTGCCCACCCCACCCCCGCGTTAGTGACTGTCTCCTTTATGCTGTTTCAGCAGGTGTTTATCTCTGTGTTCCTTCCAGGATGCCTTTTGCCATATTTAACCCAGCTACTGGTTGCCTTCCCTTGTAAAGATGTCAGTTACTGTTTATGTGTCTATTAAGTTTACATTTCATTTCTAGAATTATAGAATCTGCCACATGCATACATCCCTGTTGCTGTTTCTCCTTGCAAGTCTTTGGCCAGTTGACGGCCATCGTCTCTTTGGCCTGTCTCACTGTCACAGATGTTCCTGGCGGGACGGACTCTGCCTCTCGGATCTGCTGCTGGCACTACTGTGCAGTGGGTTTTGTGGGAGAGCATCGTTGGGGCGGTCCCGGGGGATCTGCTCAGGGGTCCTCCCGTGGGATTCTGCGTTGGTTTCCCAACGGCCACAGTTTGTGTGCCGTGCCCAGAGCTGCTGCTCTTGGCCTAGTTCCTATGGCCACCTATGGGTGGAGCAGAAGTGATGGTCCATTGTTTGTGGCCTCTGGCTCCTGAGGGGCTTACTCCACCTCCTCAGAGAGAACTCCCTTTCGGCCTCAGGTGCTATGGTGCATTCCCTGTGGCCCCTTTCCTCCCTCTGTGTCATGGTCCAGTAGCCCGGCTACCCCTGCCCCCGCCCCAGCACACTGCCTGTGCTAATTGCCTGGGTTTTTTGAGGAATTCCTTTTCTCTTTTTTCCCTGTGTACATGTTTAGCTGAATATGGGTCTTATGGTGTTAGATGGCGTGTCCAGCTGTGTGTGAGGAGGTGCGAGGGACACTCATCACTGTGCTGGGTCCCACTGAGGCCCCAGGTCTCCAGAGCAAGTTCCTTGTCCTCATTTCACAAGGTTTTCCGGCCCTAAGGAGCCCAGGGTTTGCGTCGTCCTCAGCTCATCTGCTGCCCTGGTCTCTGGGCAGTGGGCAAGGACTTCTGTGTGTCCTCGCTCACAAATGCCAGGTGCAGGACATCTGGACACAGAGACATAGACGCAGTCCCTGGCTGACTGCTCTTAGGTGCAGCACAATAAAATCAGCCTCCCAGGCTTCACAGGCCCCGTGTGCACTATGATCAGCCTGGGGAGCCCGGGAGGGGTTCAGGCCAGGGACTCCTTGAACACAGACTGTCATGTGGATGGCCACCTTGGCACCAGCTTCACCCCAACCCAGCAGCTCTCAGGACATGAAGTGTGTGTGTGTGTGTGTGTGTGTGTGTGTGCGCGCGCGCACCCCCACATGCGTGCATGTGTGGGTGTGTATGTACCTACGTGCATGCGTGTGCGTGCATGTGCACACAGCGTGGGTCTATGTCTACATGTGGCACACGTATGTGCATGTCCGCATTGTGTGCAGGGTCTGGGGTAACAGGGGAGCCCCCTCCTCACTGCCTGTGAGCTTCTATAAGCCATCTGCAGCCTGGGTGCCACAGCCTGCGTATGGGCCTGGTGTGCGTATTCGCTGGGATGGAGTGGCCCGGCAGGTAGCAGGGTGTGCTCACCTAAGGATTGTAAGCAGTGCTGATGGCTGCCTCAGGGCTGCCTCGGGCCAGCCAAAGCCATCAGACCTGGCACTCGCGGACCTGGCCCTAGCCCTGCCCAAAAGACAGTCATTGTCACATGGAGACAGAATCCCAGGAGCTTTTGGCGGGCAGGAGATGTCTGGGGCTGCATCCCCACAGCCAAGCCGCCCGGAGGCCACGCGCCAGCCCAGCCCAGTGCAGGGAATGAGCGGGGCTCCCAGGCAGCACTGCTTCCCAGGTCTGGCTGCTGGATGTCTTTGGACTAGGTGGTGTGAGGTGTGTTACCATGGGAGAGAGGAGGAGGACAGGGAAGGCCAGGGTAAGAGCCCCAGGAGTGAGAACGCGCAGTGGGAGCGCGAGGGTGTGTTGGCCACAGCCTTGGCGTGCAGGACCATGGCCTTGGGCTGTCCGCTAGCTCTCCCTCTTGGTGACTGCATCCTCATTAAGCAGTTTCTAAGCAGAGAAGCTGGGCCTGGGCTCTCAGGGTGCCCATCTGGTACCTGGCCTGTTGCCTTGAGGGCCTGGAGAAGCCACCACCTTGGGGCGAGCAAGTGGGAAGAGGGGAGACCCCGCCCCAGGGTCCCCTCCTGAGAGCCCCTACCTCCCAGGGGTGACACAGCTGTCAGCTGGGGAGGGGAGGCATAGAGGCCTTCAGGATCCCAGCCCCTTGGTGTCATCAGCCTGCCCTCTACCTCTCCCCTCCGCTTGGGCAGTGCAGCCTTCACATGGGCGGCGGTGGGGGGGGGATGAACTCCCTGTCATCCTCAGGCACCCTCCCCCAGCCAAAGAAGAGGCTCACGACTAGGGTCACAAGAGGAGGACAGCAGCTGGAGCTGGTTCGCCCTGACCCTGACCCTGGCTACCCTTACTTTCCTCACCCCTACTCTCCTCTGTCCCCAGCTTCTTGGACTCCTCCCAACCCCCTGCATCTTGCCCATCCTGTAAGATTCTCCCAGGAACACCATCCCCCTCTTGATGCCTGGGTTTCCTGGGTGGAGAGTTTTGCATGCACGGTGGAAGTGTGGAAAGCTCCCAGGGTGGAATTGTGGGGAGACAAAGTGTCACGACTGGGTCTGCCCCCAGCCCTGTCTGATTTTTCTTATAAATTAGAAACTGAATTGTTCCATGGGGCAGATAAGGAGATGGGCGAGGTGTGTTGCTTACCACCATGTAAGATTTTCTTGTTGTCCTCTTGATTCCTAATGAAGTGATGGGGGAAGAAGAGTGCGAACACACTTCCCAGGAAGGGTACGCGATGCGTGGAAATCGCGCAAGTCGGGGAGGTGCAGCTGCCCCTCTCGCCTGGGGCTTGCTTCGGGGCTTCCATCATCCCAGGAAAGAGCCATGTAAAGACATTTAATAATTCCGTTACGGTGCATGGCCATCGTTGCTTTGCTAACCCCTTGGATTGCCTGATTTCCAAGTGAAAGCCTACCACGGGTGCTCAGGGAAGGAGCACAGGAGACGTGTCTAAGGCGTGTGACCTAGGGGGTCCTTACACTGAACAAGGTGGCTGTGCTGTCAGGGTGGTGTGGTATCTGGGGACTGCCATCATCTGTGCAGTTGTGTCGTTGAGGATGACCCCAAATGCATACAACTTGTCCCTCCCAACCCTAAATCTCTGTCAAGAGGTAACTGTCTCTGTGGGCACTAAACAGACTCTGCTGGCCCCAGGGGTGTGACCAAGGGGACCCTTAGCCCCGCCTCTGCCTTGAGGAGTCCTCCGTGGTCTGAGATGCAGTCCGCCCGGTCTTTGCACTTGCGCATGTTGAAGCCCACAGGGACAGG